TTCTACCCCCCCCCCCTCCGGGGACGGTAAATTGGTACCAGATTCGTCTGGGAGGATAAAACACTGACTTGTACCTGGCCACCGCAAGTCATTGTATAGGCCACATCGCATTCAATAAGCCACTACGATTCTGAATGGAAGTAGAATGCGTGCCGCATCCCACAAAGGGGTTGATCAACGGCGGAGACTTTATCCTTTATCTTTTTTTATTAATTCATGACGTCGTTGTGGGAGGCCATCGTATTTCCTGTCATCGCCCGTTCCCCACTTCTGCGCTGGCAGGTTGCTTCTGTCTTGTGTGGTCTCTTCAGAGGTTCTTCACATGGATAAGTCTTTCATCATTGAAGCTGAACGACATCTGGGTATCGCTGCACCCTCACTTCAGAAAGGTCCCCGCGCTTACGACCCCCTCCCCCTCCCTCGAGGTCAAATACGACCCCCTGTTGTGATGATCACAACGATGGCGTGCCCTAGAGAGGGGGATAGAACAAGGATGAATCGCAAGAAAGACTAATCAATGGGAATCGGAGAGGAGACTGGGCTCACTGAGCCTTGCTCGCCCTTTTATAGTGCGCTTTGGCGCGCGATCACGCCGCGATCATTCGAATGATCTGCCGAGGAGCGATCAAAGAAATCACGAATTCGCGATAGGACCGGCGCTATGAATTTTGTGACAGGCAGACAGACACAGACGCACACATACACGGACATAGCCGATTATTAGTAGGATAGAGTGTCACCTTTCAGTGAGTAGTAAACCTAGGAACTAGCCGATTATGTATAGTAGGATATAAACCTAGGAACTAGCCGATTATATATAGTAGGATAGAGTGTCACCTCTCAGTGAATAGTAAACCTAGGAACTACCTTCGAATCATTTGAACCAGCTCTGAGCTTCTGTAAGCGGTTTCGCGACTCGACCATTCTCTTCAAACAAATTCTTCCGCTTATGCATGCTTTATTGAACAAAAATGGGACCGGATAAACAATTAAAAAACAGTAGAGAGCGAATCTCTGAGAAAACTAAGCACACCTTCTCGCAGTGGGAAAAATTCTCTATTGAACTGCTTGGGCTTGGTGCTCAAGCATCTTCACTAAATGTCAAAAAAACCTCAGTAGCAAAACAATATTTTATCTTGTACGCCAGTTTTTGAATTAGAAAAGGTACCGTTGCTCATGGGCCAAACAGTGTCATTGATACCAGAGAGTATTGGAGATATAAAGAACGCCCACTGAACTGCGCAAGTCGTCCATGATTACCATTAAAAAGCAATGTAGTTCGTTTCTGTGACATTTAAGTGTCCGGTTTCAAGTTACGTAGGTTTCGAATAATCTCTGATGAAAAGACCTCTAGATTTGTCGGTTTATATTCTGAGTCACGACATCTCTCTATCATGGCACACAAAAGTCACTGCAATGATAGCACGAGTATTTAAATTCCACTTTCCTGAAGTTTGTGCCGTTCTAGATGAAAATCAACTCAATCCTACTATATATAATCCGCTAAGTTTGTCTGTTGGTGTGTGTGTGTGTGTGTTGTATGTGTGTTTGACCGGAAATTCATAACTTCCTTCAAAACAGCGATAGAGCGCTCAAACTGATAAGTGATGTAGGGGTCGGGCAGGAACATTATTGGTGGGTGGCAGGAAGTGATAACAGCTGATAAGATACCATAAGGAGCCTTAGAAGGAGTGGGTTACCTAATTCATAACACCGGCCAGAGCAACGACCGGACGTTGGATCCAAGTAGTAAGATAGGGGCAGGATGGGAACATTATTGGTGGGTGGCAGGAAGTGATAACAGCTGATAAGATACCATAAGGAGCCTTAGAAAGAGTGGGTTACCTAATTCATAACACCGGCCAGAGCAACGACCGGACGTTGGATCCAAGTAGTAAGATAGGGGCAGGATGGGAACATTATTGGTGGGTGGCAGGAAGTGATAACAGCTGATAAGATACCATAAGGAGCCTTAGAAGGAGTGGGTTACCTAATTCATAACACCGGCCAGAGCAACGACCGGACGTTGGATCCAAGTAGTAAGATAAGGGGCAGGATGGGAACATTATTGGTGGGTGGCAGGAAGTGATAACAGCTGATAGGACACCATAGCGCTTCACAACACGAATCCTGAGAACACTGGAGAACTATCCTCCAGCAAGTGATTCAGACGTTTTTAAGGGACATGGTTTGAGATTTTAGTGACGAGAGATATGTTGTGATACTGTGGGCTTATAACAGTCAGATCTGCTACTCTGCTTACGACTGAGCTTGACCACTGGGTCAATGAGCAAACGCTCGCAAAGCCAAGCAACATCTATTCTTCAGCAATATAGTCGAAATTGATTCGACCGCTAAACTTTGAGGCTTCACCCAAAAATAAAAGCCTAAACATGTTTGTCAGTGAGCAATGATAAGAGCCACTAGCAGACAGATACCTGAAAGCTGCTCAACGGAAGCGCTGGGAAATGATAGCTTTCATCAATTCGATTCTGTTACTACCGAAATTCTTTCGACCGCTAAGTTCTCATACTCGAGTGGTGGGTGTTTTTAGAAATTTGATAAACAACAGACATTGGCAAATGTTCATTGAAAAGCTGAAATATGATGCAACGGGCCGTTTTTCGAAACATGGAATTAAGCCAAGTGTTAGTGGCCAGCACAGAGAATCCTGACAGTAGTCAGCACCACAGCTGGACGCGCAGTAGTGCGCGTCAGCCAAACTTGTTATACCATAATACAATTCATCCTCTTTTGATAAGAAGAACTTAAATGCCAAACGAACATTTTCGGACAGCGGGCGAGCGGTCGCGTCGCGGTCATTGCATGGGTCGCGTTGAATCTGGCGCGAGGGAGGAGATTTCACATGAAAATTGGAAGTTGAAACATGCAGTGTTTGATATATTGGAAGGTGAATGAGTAGTTCCACATATGTTCCTTTCTCCGTTCGCAGACCGTTCATGGAGTCACTTAGACATGAGCTACAATCATAGACACACTCACGTAGCTATTCAATAAGAAGCGTACACGGATTCTAAAGCCCCTGTCGTACGGAACCTTATGTCGGGTTTTTTTCTGAGTTTTTAGAATCCTTCATGAGCAAAGATAGAAATTTCGAAGACATAAATCTAGTGCGACAGGGTTAATGGGTACTTCATAAGGGTGAAGTGCTAGCAAAGGAGGTGCGCGGTAGTTCACTTTAGGACTGAAGGCAAAGATGACGACGAAAATATCTTTATCTTCCATGTGATAACAAGAATCCTAGAAACACCAATGCTAGAGCAACTGAGTGGGTGCAATAGGATAACTGTTCCACATAGGTGCATTTGAAGTATGTACAAGTTCCAGAAAATATGTTTTGTGTTGTAGCACAGACATTCGTGATGTGGCGCCCTAAACAAGTTCGGGTGTGATCGCAATTTTCTTTTGGATTCGAGGATAAACTGAGCGTTACGGTTAACAACGTGGATAAAGAAGTGTCTGTGGAGGAACTTCTGAGATTCCAGAAAACTAGAAGGAAGTCCTGTAAAATCCCCTCGATTTGAAGTATGTTTCAGGGTTTCATAGCTCTTGATTGTATCATTTCCTACAAATCAAATGATGTTCTCGCTCCTACGAATGTCTCGTGTATCGTGAACCTAATCGCGAGGATAACGCTTCCCAGTGCAATGACCGCGACGCGACCGCTCGCTCGCTGTTCAAAAATGTTCGTTTGGCATTTAGGTTCTTCTCTTTTGATAGGGCGTCATTGTTTTGTACAGCTGTACTGCGTGCGATTGCATGCGCTAAGGGGCTACCGTACGCTTGGAATTTCATTTTACGCTCATGTGGACGTAACATTATAGGGGATATCAGCGGAAGGTGTACAGTGGCGTCCGTTCTCTCGCTTTTTCTCTATGGCTTGCAATCAGCTTTTATCATTTGTTATAACTCCATGTTGTCCACTAATAACGTTTCCATCTCACCCATACCAATTATCTTTTTGCACTCTCCACGGCTTAATCAAAGGAAGTATGGATTCCGGCTCGAATACGCACCCATATGCAAGAACAGCCAGACTTAGCGGATTGTATATTTATTTGGTAACGTCGCTACCAGGCGAGGCGATGACATGAGGGATGGAATGAGCCTGCATCCGGCTGTCTTTTCTATCTATGCAGATCGGTTTTTAATCGACTCAGGAAGAAACGTGTTGGGAAAGCGGTGGGTGGCCTTTTTCCTTCAAATGAAATTGCCCCGCCTGATTGCGACGTTATCAAGCAGTGGGATAGGGTGCCCTTAAAAACTAGTTTCCGTCATTCTGATAGGGAGCTGAGTCCGGTTTGCAACAGTCCTGTCTTTTTTCTTCAGCTCCACACTTTACTTTTTTTCTTCTTTACTTTTGCTAGTGTTAACAACAATTCTATGCTCTACCTGCTGGCTTTCCTTGTGTCGGGCTGCAGCAAGTGAACGCTGAGTGAAAGAGTTAACAAATATGAGGGTCATTTGCTTCCGCTGCTCATAGCGGCTGAAAATTCCTCATATCTCTTTCACTCTGTACATACTGCGCGCGTTATACTCGAAATCCTGAGATCGGGTAGGCGTGGCCGCATGCTTCAACTTAACCTGAGGAGTCTATGCTTCTGGTGAGATATTTTCATCTTGACACAATTGTTGTCGTGTCTCTGTCCAACACAGAACAAGATGACAGTTGTCCCAGGACTGAATTATTTCACGCGTAACCAGTTCCGCGCCATATTGAAATGCCACGCCTACTCTGGCTCAGGGATAAGGAGTGTACGACAGCGTCATGATTGCTACTATTACACCTACTCCACCCCATCTTTAACCTATTTTCCCCGAAAGCATAAGGACGACTTCGTGAGAAGTACTGTAACTCAGCACGATCAGTGCTTATCACCACCTGTTTACTTACGAAATATCTTCACCTCGGATCATCAGTGGTTCTCATTTTCCACTGTGAGCCTCTGAAGTCCTGTCACTATGGGAGTACGTTTTCAATGTTTAACTTTGATAGGATCGTAGAACAGGGTGGATTCCAACCTGTGAGCACAGAATTACCGTCTGGATAGGCGTCTTTCATTTCAAATTCTTTTTGCTTTCTAATCATCTTTCAGAAGAAAAAGAAGAAATCGAAGAGATTCGATGGCGATGTAAGTGACAATATGTGCGAAACGAGTTCTGGAAATTCCCGTACCCATTCAGTAACAGTCCTGTTTTGCAGTCCGAATTGTCAGACACAGACTCTGGTTCCACCATATCGGAGAAGACCAAACAGAACGTTTTGCCAGTATTTGCTCAGAAAAGACAACAGGTTCGTCTTCCAAAGTTGAATTTCACCGAGATCTCCTTCAATGGTCTCTTCAGGCATTGCCTGGAGCTACAGTGAGACCAAAGAAGCATCCGCCATGGTATAGCACACGGATCTTAGAAGAAGAACGACCAGACCTAGCTGAAGCTGATGGAAGGATCAACATAGAGGTTGAGCCTACTGATTATTGATCAAGGCGAGAGGTCGTTCCATATCAGAGGCCGCTTTATAAGAGCGGATGTTGCAATATGTGATATGGCTTTGCCTGACAATGATACACTTCCATTTCTCGTGCGTGCAATGACGAAACGGCCCAAAGGAAGTGAGAAATATAAGGCAGCGTTCAGACTTCGCGACGGCAGCGACTCCCCGTTCGACGCGACCAATGCAGTCAAAAGCATGCGCATCGATCTCGTCAAACGCGCGACCGAAGCGCTGGCGTCGCGAAGTCTGAACGTTGCTTGAAGCCGGAGACGGTAGAAAGAATTGTAATTTGTCGCTCCGCCGCACGACGATGGGCGCGACAGTTTCTTAACTCGTGTTAACCTGTCGATTGGAGCACCGGACTTCATGTAGACCCCGTCATCGTAGACATTCATGACTATTCGTTTCTGAATTGCTTGTTGTCGCCGTCCTCTACATGGAACCGCCCACATTCGCAGGCGCGACGTCGCGCGCGGCACCCACCAACGCAGCTAATTACGATTCTCTTGTCACACACCCGCTTGAAGATGGGGAAGTACGAGGGTAGAAGATATGGATTACGCGTCGTGAAATCGAGGAGTGTGCAACCGCACCGCACAGATGCTAAAGCAAAGCATTATGCAATTGCTGTAGTACAGTTGTACGGTGTGGTTGTTCACGCCGCAATTTCACAACACCTAATCCGGCTCTTTGCTACTCTTCTTCCTCCTCATACTCTCTACTCCCGGCCGCGGGTGGACGCTGGCAGGTGCTGGCAGACGCTAGATCCGATACTTATACTCCACTGCCCCTCGAGACGCCGACAGACGCTTGCCGATATCTGTACTTTCCTGGTCGCTGACGCTGCCAGACGCTCGGAGCACTAGTCGACGCTGCCACAAAGTTGCAGCCTCAAAGGAGTAGAGACATTAAAAGTGCTCCAAATCTACACTACACCATGATATATGCCTCCAGACTAGTCAGTCTGCAGTTTCTCAACAGCAATCTAGAAGCCTGCGATTTTTGGGGTGTACGGTGCTCGGAGAGGGGTCACCACCTACTGTTTGAGAACAATGGAAAGCACCCACCACAGGGGGCCTTCTCTCCAACCTATTTTCACCCCAGAAACGCAGGCTAGCACCATAGGCCATAATGAAGGGGAGGATTCTTGTCAAGACCAGGTAGAAAACATTCCAAAAATGAAACATAAGGGCGCAATTCAGCTACGCGGGGCATTTTGCAGTTTCGCTGCTCCACTAGTTCTGGTTCACAAGTCTCATTGTGATGAAAACTGCTAACTAATGCGAAGCTGGAGTAAGTTTGTCGGGCCATCGTGGTAGAACCTTTCACCTGTTGTGAGGTCACATATACCCTCTAGATGGTGGACACATCGATGGGAACTAGCAAAGTGCAGAATGCCCCTTCACCCCTCTCCCGTGGCCGGATGTCCTCAATTGAGTGCCATTTTTCCTCTGCAGTGTGCTTGAAAGCGAATTCTGTCGCTTCAGAGAGAAGAAGCAGCTCTGATGGATATGTTCATCAGAGGAAAAAGTGATTTGCAAACAGGCGACTTAATCATTACAGATGACAAGTGAGTTTGCAACTTCCCTCACTCTTTGCCCCTTCAACCGTCTCGATCCCACTTCCCAGTTCAAGCTGTGCGCCGTTCTCTCACCACTACCACTAACTCACCTGTTAGCATCCACTATCTCTTCAATCATCTTCCTCTCTACTTTCCTCTTTTTCCTTCCACATAAAAGCTGCTGATGATTGAAGCACAGTGGCGGAGGCTCGGGCCAACGCCTTTCGCTTCGCCCTGCCGCAGGTAAACGGTGCACGTATGTGCCTTATATCGTAGGGGGTGGGGTAGGGATGTAATCATAGCCATAACACTAGCT